AGATGATTAGTTGTTGCTAGGAGCGACTGTTACTACACAAAACACATCGATAACTTGTTTCTAAAAAAGTCGTAGTCTAAGGGTTAAAGGGCTACTTCCTCGCAGATGCACATGACAACTGAGGAAATCCTCCCCAGGCTTCTAACTCTTCAGGTTAGGTGGAGCTGCTTGAACATAAAAAAAACTTCAACACGACCCAGACTTTCCACTGTTGCTTCTCCGCACAAATGGGTACCACAACAATGTTTCTGAACAGCGCCACGTGCTTTCCTTCGAAGCCTCATCCCCAGGCAAGGCGACGTACCCATTCCATGCCTACGATAAGAAAAGCTACTGAGAATTGTATTGTCTGTCAAATACACGGGGTCAATGCCGGAGAGGGATGCTTTCCTACTTGCTTTCATCATAAATACGCTAAGGTGAACACTGCACCCCAATAATGATGGATTTCTTTCTTGCTGGTTCACATTGAAGCTTACTAGCTTAGGAGAGGCTCTCAGGTCGCCATGGCCATTCAAGAAGAGATGTATACGCTAGATGTGCCTTTGAACGCTGATCTCAAATCTACCTTCCAAATCTGCTAAACGATTCTCTGAAGGGAGTTATGAAGCAAAACAGCGCAACGGCAGTGGTCGGGATTTGCAGTCAAAACGTCGTAGGATCGGCCCCTGATCGCGTCTACTGTTTTGCCTTCTTCAGGAGTACAGCTAAAAGGCTTTTAATAGCCTATTTAGCCTAATTCCTGAAGAACGCAAGACAGTAAACGCGATCAGGGGCCGATCCTACGACGTTTTGACTGCAAATCCCGACCACTGCCGTTGCGCTGTTTTGCTTCATAACTCCGTTCAGAGAATCGTTTAGCAGATTTGGAAGGTAGATTTGAGATCAGCGTTCAAAGGCACATCTAGTGGTATACATCTCTTCTTGAATGGCCATGGCGACCTGAGAGCCTTTCCTAGCAGCATCTAGATCAGCAATAGAAGTGCTTACTCGTCCACAAAGTGCCACCTGATTTCAAACTCGTAACTCTAGCGTTGACACAACTTACATGAAGGTTTTTGTAGGCTTCATCACCTTTCTGAATATAAGCAATCACATTCCCTTTCGATTTGTCCATACCTTGCTGGAATGAATTATCACTGAAGATTTTTATAGTAGATGTGTAGTGTTCGTCAATGTAATCACACAATGGGTCGACAGCTCGCATTCCCCTGAAATAGACGTCGAAATTCATAAGTCAAATATAAGCACGCCATTTTTATCTCATCTGGGACGGTTCACTGGAACAGTGGCCCTACGATCTGACAGGAGGGGGGAGGGGTCTTTCTGGACAAAATGCGCTTTTCAGGGCGGTTTTTCGCAAATTGTGGGGACGCATGTATGGGCACAAAACCATGTTTCGTTTTCGCTGAACGGTTTTAGCAGTACCAAAAAAGAAGCAAAGGTACTGTTAATGGTTCGATCCCCGTGGCGACTAAATTTTGCATTTGGGTTGGCGCCTACGGTTGGTGCCAAATCGCGCTAAATGTCAAAATCAGATGTCATATTCATCGTCAGGACCATTTTGAAGCCAACAAGTAGCCGCCAACTTTGAATGCAAAATTTTGACGCACCGGGAATCGAACCATTAACAGTATCTTGCACTACTTTTTTGATACTACTAGAAGTTTAGCGAAAACAAATAATGCAAGAAACCGTTTTGAAAAAGCGCGGTTTGCCCTGAAAGACCCCTTCTGTGAGTAAATGCGTTTTTACCCAGTCAATAGTAAATATCCCCTAAAAGTGCCGGTGCTAAAATTCTTCAATTCAGTAGAGGGTTCCACTGCATAAACCCTATAATATGAACAAGCCATGCCTCGATCTCCTACTGCGACTACTGTACTATTTCGGTGGTGACCTACTTGTTTTTGGGATCAGCTGTTATTGATCCACTTTGTTTATGTGGCTTTGGCACGTTTGCTTGGGCGCATAAATAGGCAAATAAATGAAAGCCAAAAGTGAAGGTAATCATGATGAGTGAAAATTTTGGGTGTGTAAGAATATAGGAAATAATTAGGAACTCACCTATATTCATTTTTCATCATATCGCCGAAAACGAACAACTTCATGGTTGGATACTTATTCACATAAAAGCGATCACAGATGTCTCTCTGAAGCGATAACGCGTTGTAACAAATTTGTAAAAATTATTACATTTGACATTTGAATGTTAGCGTCACCAATTTTTACACAGCATGCCTTTAGGTTCACCACCAAATCATTGATTACGTGTGATTGCTGACAAGTTACGGTTACTATACTATATCACTTTGATTATGCTATTAAAAGCCGAATCAAGCTTAAGTTGGTGCCAGCGGTGCAATGTCAGCACTCCTGTCCGGTAGAAGTAGGTCCAGTTCGGCTAGGCAGAGTCTTTTCCACATATGTCAACAGCCTTGCGATATCGACAGATTATTAGTAACTATATGCATGGTGTTGTATGAGAAAGCGTTGTCCTGAGTCTCAGAGGCTACCTGGGCAACCCTTTTTTGAAGAACTGTCGTTCCTTACTTTACACAAATACCGTACACTCAAACTCAAGGTCCATGGTAAATATACGGTAGCGCTCAAAAGTCATTGGCCAAATGCATTTTCGCCGTAACTTTTTTTGCTGAACCAGATCCGTTCAAATTTTGATATGTTGACAAGGCAGGCTTTCATTACTGAGTTAGCGTAGTGTTGGATGGTAGGAAGAGTTGAGGATGAAAAAGTGGATGAGGAATGAGAATGGGGTGAAAACCAAAGCGCGCTAGTGCAGGTCCTGAGCCAGCCATCATTCCCGAGTCCGCTATCGCCTGTGCGTCGCTGGCACCAGAACGTTGCCAGGGACGGTAGTAAAGTCCCCTAAATAGCCAGTCTATAGCTGGCCAATAGGTCACGTTGATCTCGCCTTCGTCGGCACTCAAAAAGCATGGGGAAAGGGCGGAAATTCACGCTGACCTCCCGCAGAGGGCGAGGTCTATACCACATGTTAAGTGGCGAACGTATTAGGTGGCACCTAGCCTAGGCGGCGAACCCGGCAGAGAAAGGGGAAAGTGCGTGGAGATTGCAGAGACGCAGAGGGTCATGTAGAGGGCGACTAAAATGTACCCCTGAGTACATTTTAGTCGCCGCCTATCTGCGTCTCTTCAATCCCCATGCACTTCCCCCTTTCTCTGCACGTCATGCATTGGTCGCATTGAGCGTCTCTGCCGTCCCTGCCATGCGCAGAGCGCAGGGAAGAAAGGGGTACGTGAAGGTGTTGAGTGGAGGCAGCAAGAAAGCCACTGGAGCTATCGATAATATTGATAACTTTCTGCCAATAAGGTGATCAGCTGTCCCCCGCAGTTTCCACTTATTGATCGTGTTATAGTCAGCTACTGCTTTGGCCGGGGAGGCTTCACTATGTAAATCATGCTAGACATGATCTTAGCTACAAACACGTCGATTGGCGCAGTGGGTTCGTTCCTTGTTGACATTGGATCGCTCGCGGGATCAGTTCTCCATGATACTGGATGTTTTGCAACCCTCATAGGATCCTACCTTGCTTTCTACAATTCTTTCGAAGTAACACAGCAATGCTTTGTGGTGCAGTGGCAAACGTCGCGCTCATGGGCGCTGCACATATGGTTCAAGTCCATGGCGACGCGACTTTTGCTAGGAATGTAGTGAAGCTCGCCATTCAGAGCGGGGTCATCTGGCTGTCTCGCCTTTCATTATTCACCGTACGGCCGTAGTTCACCACCTTTAACTCCCAGTCTATGGCACTTTACTACCGTCCCAGATGAGTTCCATACGTTCGTTCATCATTTTGATAATGTTTCCACAACGGCACGGGACCTTATCAAGCTTTGCAAACGCGTTATCAGTCAAACTTGGGCTTGCAGGTATTATGTGTGGATCTGGTTTAACACAGACGACATCGCATGACTGTCTGGGCAATGTTGCACAGGCGTGGAACATGAGCGGTTTTGCAAGGGAGCCGTCCGCACCTTACTTTCGCCTATTTTTGGTTCAAAATGTACAGCAATTTTGAATCTCATAGAAATTATTCGGAAGGATAAAAGCATAAAGGTTAACTGTATGAATAGCAGCAGATTTTTGTTAGAAGAACGCATAATGACCACGAAGAAGCAAAAAACATCACTTTAGCTGCGAATGAAGTTAAAAGCATTTATATTTAAGTTCTTCAATCAAATACAAATATTTTGAAACTTACAAGTTTTGTTTAACTGCTTCTACAATCTTACATATGAATGTTTACGACAGTGAAAGGAATACCAGGAAAGGATAACTGAGGTTCATGATGCTTCAGAAATCTTTGCTAAAGTCAAAGATAGTTGAGCATTCTGAGCGCTTATAGTTATGCGTGAATGTATTATCTTACAGACGATGAAACCGAGGAGAAAGCAGAAGCTCGGAGCCACAAATAAAATATGACTGACATAGTTCGGAGCTCGGCCGTCGTCAACGTGTTAGCGAGGTGCAACGACGAGTCGGTTGGTTGTTGCATTTCGGTGGTCGATGGCAGCAGAAGGGACACGTCAGTTTTGCGCGTTTCTCGGAATTTTGCTTCTTTTCACACTTGGGGGCGGTTATCGAGCGATCGCCGCGGTCGCTTGAACGTACCGATACACTCAAACTTCAACCGTCCATTGGTAAAGTATACGGGTAGCGCTCAAAGGTCATTGGCCAAATGTATTTTCGCCGTAACTTTTTTGCTGACTCAGATCAGTTCAAATTTTGATATGCTGACGAGACAGGCTTTCACTACTGAGTTAGCGTAGTGTTGGATGGTAGGAAGAGTTGAGGATGAAAAATTGGATGAGGAACGAGAATGGGGTGAAAACCAAAGCGCGGCCCTGGTTTTGGAAGCCCCCCCCCTCGAAGGTACAATGTAGCGCTCCCTTAGTCGCCTCGCCCTAGCTTCGTTTGGATGTTGACTTGTTTCATTTGGATAATCTTCTTTTTTAGTCTTATAATGTCTTGGTTTCCATGACGGCCCACTCTGCACGCAGGCTTTCGGACTCATATGGCTTGAATATCAGTAATTAATTTTCTGGAGGTCCAATTGGCGCTCAAAGGTGTCGAACACGAATATATGTAATGCCCGAAGATATCTTAGGCTGCTTTCATAGTTCGCATCGGTGCGGTCGGTGCCGACGGCGCCGACGGCGCCGACCGCACCGACAGTGTGAAGAGCGTCAATATGCGCGCTCTGGCGCATGACGCGTGCGCTGGGCGCAGATGGGGGCTCCGATCGATAATCGTTGGTTTTGGTGTATTTCTTGTGCTTTTCGATGTTTTTTTTTTCGCGCCGCCGTGTTGGTTTCATTCGCGTGTTTCCTTTTCTGTTCGGTGGGTGTTCCTCGTCTTCCTACTTATTCTTTTATGGGCGCAATGTGGGGTCGGGGGGGGGGGGGGGGGGAAGTCGGTGCGGCGGCTCAGCGATGTAGTGTAACTCGAACATTCCAGCTTTTCACGGGACATTTCAGCTTCTCACGCATGCTAAGTGACTGCCCTCACCCCCCCCCCCCCTGAATTGGCTACCGATCATCTCCGCCCGTGCGCGCTTAGCAGGATTTCTGTGCGGTGCCCGCGACCCGCCGGCGCGTCGGCGTGCCCCCTCCTCCGAGCCCATGTGGCTCCTTTGATGGTCTTGATTAATAGATTTCAGTTGTTTCGCGGCCGCGAGCGCACGTTCTATGAATCCCGTCGGCACAATGGTGTGATCTGGCTTTATATACGGGTGTGTTGTCAACAGCAAATAGGGCGCAATGGGGCTCGGGGGGGGGGGGGGCAGTCGCCGCGCGCGGCGTTGCGGCAACAGGAAATTCGTGAGCCAGGGGGAATGTAGCCAATTCAGGGGGGGGGGGTGAGGGCAGTCACTTAGCATGCGTGAGAAGCTGAAATGTTCCCGTGAGAAGCTGGAATGTTCGAGTTACACTACATCGCTGAGCCGCGCGCGGCGACTGCCCCCCCCCCCCGAGCCACATTGCGCCCAATTTTGTTTATACAAATGAAGTGAGTGCAAAAAACATCGAAAAAATACAAGAAATACACCAAACCACCAAGATTATCGACCGGAGCGCCCCATCTGCGCCCAGCGCACGCGTCATGCGCCAGAGCGCGTGTTGACGCTCTTCACTGCTGTCGGTGCCGGCTTGTTCGGCGCGCGCGTCGGCACGCGTCCGGGCACGCGTCGGCACGGACCGCACCGACTTGCCGAACTAATGAAGCAGCCTACTTTGAACTTGTGTGCTAGTTGTACATGATTACATGTTAAAACAAACCTGAGATTCACAGTCTACCGTAGCCCAAACAACGTCAGCAGTTGGATTTTTCCTTTTGTAGAAGGCTGCAGCTTCTTCAAATGTGGGTTTTAAATTACGTGAGTATGGGCACCATTCGGCTCCGAAAGCAGCAAATACTAACTGAAATATCATTTTATTTCAATCAAGAGCTGATCAATTCCCAATTCATGAGATGAAATGAAATTCAGTGCGACGAAGTTCTGTTCGTTATTGAGCAGACCGTTAGAGATGAGCGCTGGAGGTGCCTCTCACCCATCGTGTCGCCCAGACGATGAAATCGGTAGCATTTCCATTACAAGAGTTTCCGAGCAGGAACATATTGTGGAAATAGCCTTACAAAGTTGCTAGGATTCACCACTTATTTCGGTGCGGTTTACTATCACCGGCTCCTTCTCTTCTTGGACCAGCTTGCAGCAAAATCGGGAGTTCACTTGAATGTAACGGATGCTAGATGAGAAGAAAGTATATGAAGTTTTTCACAAGAATGCTGGGTTGTGAACAAAACTTTCGCCCCAGGCGGGACTAGAACCCGCACCTCTCGCTTTCCGGGCAAGTGCGCTACCAGTTACGCTACCGGGGCACCATTTCATTCCAACTCAGCTTTTCATGGTATACGTACCATAGCTTTCAGCACTCACACGTCTAACGTGTTGAGCCGGTTAGCCGATATCGGCAATGACCGCGAGGCTGAAAGCTTTAGCAATGAATTTTGACTTGTTTTGTTTGTTAACTGCTGTTTTAACGCCGCAGTTAACAAATAGAAACAAGTCAAGAATATATGAAGACCTACGAATAGGGTCTTAGAAATTGTACGCAGGAGCAAAAGGATTTGAGAATTGGAGAATTGATGGGCGTCTACTCCCTGGATGGAGCCAGAGGAGTTTGCGGATAGACGAAGCAATCAGGCGATGCGGGCGATCTCGGCCTAACTTGGTATGAAGAATTGACTGATACGTACAGTCGAGATCCGTAAGTTGGGGTAGGCGTGTCACCGGAAGTGACGTGGACTTGATAGAAGTTGCGTAGGTAAGTCGCTGCCAGCATGCTTTGCTGATATCTCGCGATATATATTGGAAGCACCTTATCCACATAGATTCTATCAAGTACACGTCACTTCCGGTGACACGCCTACCCCAACTTACGGATCTCGAGTATATCTTCTCTTATTGCTCTAGCTCATGGAGCGTTCAGAGTTGCCGGTACGTGCCGATTAGGCGATGATTCAAAAAGAAAAGTATACGTATCGATTAGGCGATTAGGCGAGTAGTCGATTAGGCGAGTAGGCGAGTAGGCGATAAGAGAAGGATGTGTATTGATTTGATGCTCCACCCATCGAGCGATCGCCTAAGGGCCTGTTCATAGTTCGAGAATTCGACGAAGATGCGAAGAAGCGATTGGTAGCACGTTCGCACAAGAGACGCACGCGCCGCGACGCTTCAGGAATCAATCAATGAACCGTTATTGATGTTTAAAGAGTTTCCGAGGGAAAACTACGCAGATTGAGAAGATTATCGAAAATAGAATACTTTAACGGCGACATGTCAATAGATCTTGAAAAGTAATGGACAGTAGAAGAAAAGAGTAAATAACAGTAGTAGCAGCGAAACAAAGAAAGATCAGTGATTCATTCATAGACTTGCATCTTATCTGTCGACACGCGTATCAAATCCTTCCACGCTGGTCGCCCCGTCGCATCTTCGCCTCGCGCGATCGCTGAAATCCAGACGCGCTCTCGCATGTGACGCTATAGGGCGGAGTCGAGTCAATCGATATGCACTCACTTCATTTGATAGAATCGCTTGGTCGCATCATCGCATCTTCGCATCTTCGCCGAATTCTCAAAGTATGAACGAGGCTTAATCGCCTGCCCGCCCACTCGCCTAATTGCCCAATCTGTACGTACATTTTTCTATTGTAGACTAATCGCCTAATCGCCTACTCGCCTGATCGCAGGTGCAATCGCTAACTCTGAACGCTCCATTACACGCTTGATCGTTCACTCGCCTCCCCTCCTACTCGCCTGATCGCCTAATCGCACGTGCGATCGTCAACTACAAACGCTACGTTAGAGGTGGAGTGACCCCAAAGTACGCTTGCATATCCTTTCATTTAAAAAATTTCGACTCCATTCGCCTGAAAGTTCCTCCCCCTCAAGCCATTTCCTTGGGACCAAAAGTGAAGAAATATCTGAGTCAGCACCAGTCGAAGAGGCAAGCGTCATTGTGTACATTGTGTACATGGCGTGCCTGCTTCCGAGTTCTTGTCAGGTCCATAGCTGAAGACCTTGTTAGTCCGTAACTTTACAGCTTTGTACAGAAAGAGAGTTCAAATTTAACTAAAGCCTCCGATTCCGAACTCTCAACAAGTGTCTGTCAAGCGGTGAAGTAAGCGTTATTTTCACATACCTGGTGTTGAGGTAGGATCGTGTTCAGATTCCATTCGTCGATTGCCACTGTGTTACCGAATGCAGTGAGAATACGAACCAAAAGCAGGAAAGCGACCGTGTTCCACATAACTTGGCCTGAAAGTGGCTCCGTACATAGGATCTTATCTCTTCAAGATATGCACTACGTGTCAAACGTGAAGTTAAACCCACGAGATTAGTGAACGAAAATGGAGCCACCAATTTTTCTGACTTTTCACGTTTGTACGAATATAAGATTGGTGCGAGCAATCATCTCACTCTAGCTATGGCAGCGTTCAGAGTTGGCGATCGTACACGCGATTAGGCGATTAGGCGATTAGGCGATGATTCAAAAAAAAAAGTATACGTATCGATTAGGCGATTAGGCGAGTAGGCGAGTAGGCGAGTAGGCGATAAGAAAAGGATACGTATCGGATTGCTTGCTCCGCCCACTGAACGATAACCTTACCGAGAGTTCGCCTAATCGTCTAATCGTATGTACGATCGCTAACTCTGAACGCTGCCTGAACTCGTGTTCACACTTCACGCTTTGAGATGTTAGGAAATGTTGCGATAACGAAAAAGATGCGTTCTGATGGAAGCATTTGACCTTTGACACTTGGCTGGCTCCCGACTAGGATCAACTGCCCGTTGTTCCATTTCCCAGGAATTTAACGACCCTCCCCCTTTAGAGGGTCTCCATACGTCCCTTCACCAACACCACCAACCTTGGGGTGTTCCCCACATCCAGTTTCCACGATCCTTCCCCTTCCTTCCAATCCATCCACGAAAACTCACAGCCACGGCTCTTTTTATCGTATTCGATTCAAAGACCAGTTGGTCGAACTCTCACCCAATTTTTTGCCCCCTCC